CTGTGCTTAAAATTGCAATCACGAAATGTGTTTTAGAACCTAAGACAAAATTTCACCAAGAAAAACTGTATGCAGAAAAATTACAATCATCTAGCTAAGAAAAGAATAATAAGAGGCCTAAGAAAAGCAATCCACTGGGCAACCTAAATGGAAGTTCAGTTAGTCTTCACATAGTACTTCTGCTGGGGAGGAGGTTACAACCTTTTTAGTTTTTCATAGCCTCAGTTGATTTTACAAAACGTTTTATGCACATGAGAAACTAAAGAAAAATTCATTCTGTTGTTTGTAGGGCAGCGCTGCCCTGCAGGTCCTGAGCCACTCCACGGCCACTGCCCTTCGTTTCCTGGGCCCGTTTGCTCGAACAGCTAACCGCGGCTAAAGTTAGCCGCAGTACCTAGGAGAGGGATTTTTTAGTCACGTGACTGGCTCGGTAGGGATACGGGGAGCTACGCATTGCCCCGTCGCGTCGTTCGACAAAATGGCTGCGGCGTACGCAGTTTCCGTGGTCGGGATCGCATTGGTGTTTGTCTTCAGAGCGATGATTTAGGTTCCGTGTTCTAAGTTAAGAGTGTACAAGTATCCTACGTGCGCCTTAAAGAAACTGACATTTCGAGGGGACTGCGACTGAAGTCGACGGCAGCAGCCCGTCGACAAACAGTGGCTCAGAGTCACCGATTTGTAGAAGTACAGTGGCCCGGAGTCGCCGACTGTCGAAGCTTCGCATCGGCTTCATTGAAGCACGGCAAGAATCATGCATCGCAGCGCCGAAATGTGGGATGCGTTCCAAGGAACACGATAGCCGAGTACGACAAGCGTTTTACGGTGAGCACCAAAACATTTCGCGATAGGGTTGTGATGAGGCCAGCCTCATACTCACGTTATGTTGAGCGCTGTGAAACTAACTTCAAGCAGGAGCAGGATCAGAATACGTTTATTGAAAGGAAGCATTACGGAGAGTTGCCTTTTGAGTAGCGATTGCGGTTTATTGAAAGTAGTCACGCCGGGAAAATTTCTGTTCAGGGTGTCCATTTTGTACAAAATCCTCGTATTCTGCTTACAGTGCGACTGCAGCTGCAGCATCAACCGTTCTGCAGATAAACGGCGGACAGAGGCTCAACGGTCCAATGGATTTTAGCAGTGATGAGTAGCAGAACTTTCTCTGGGTTTAGTGAAATGCTACGTTGTCCATAAAAGACCAGTGACCTGCCGATCGTTCAATTCACTCGCCCTCCAAGAAAGCCGGTACATGCAGTTTTTCCGAATCAACTCCGTTGTGCCGTCTGCGAAAGTTGTAGAACCGAGAAATAAACAATACTGAAGTTGTTGGAAATGCACTTGTTTGTTATTTCGCGTTGCTTCTGAAAAAATATTTTACGGTTAGCAGGAATAATGTTGCAATTGTGTAGATAAACAAACCAAGGTAGCAGACGATCATGCTCCTTCTGCAAACGAAAATGAACCGAGCGACTACCTCAAAGGGGACCGCGCCGCTGCGTCAAAAGAATTGGACCCTAGATGAAAAATTGGAATTAGTCCGGGAAGTTGAGGCTCGAAAATACCAAATCCTGGGAAAATTCGGCCCTACCGTGACTACTAAAACCAAAAGACGCGCCTGGGACCAAGTCGCCAATTCCATGACCCGCCGCCACCAAGTTCCGCGTTCAGTGAAACAGCTTCAAGAAGCATGGAGAAAATTACTTAAAAAGTGCCGAACTTTGTACAGATTGTACAAAGAACATGACCAACGGACAGGTAAGTTCCAATATTTGCGCTACAAAAACAGAAAAAAGGGCGATATTTGTAAAATCTTTATTGGAAACTTTGGGTGCACTGTACAAATTTATTAGAGAGTGATATATTAGCCCCTCAAATTTTTGGGGCAAATATCTCAACCGAAGACCCCATTCAATGCGCGACAACTAACATCTCGCTCAATATCATGAGAGGGCAAGCCCAAAGATTAATTAGCTCTTACTCGCACAAGTTTCAACACAGTGGCACTAACACAGAAATAGCCCCAAAGCACCTTGGATCCTGTTCCATGCAGTGGGCCTGCGTAATTTCTCAAAATTAATGTCCAAATTTTGCTTGCCAAAAACATTGTCTTTAGCACTGTAAACAATGTAGACACTATTGTTCAACTAAACACAGAAGAAAAATGTATGTAGGCAAGTAGCGTGGGAACAAGGGCAGGGGGGCTTCAGACCCCCTTCCCCCCCCCCCCCCCCTTGAAATTTCAGACAGCTGCGGTAAACAATGCTGCAAAAGGGGGCGGGGTTAAGCTCAGAGGCCCCGTCGCCCCTCCACGTTTCAAACACTTCCGACGCAACCGATTCAGGCGCAGAGTGGGCCAGGCTAGCCGGTAGCTGGCAACAGTGAGTTTGCTGTCAAACAAAAAAAAAAAAGAAATAAATTGCCCAACATCACATATTACCCGAGACCGGATAATAGGAACCTGAGGGTGAAAAAAAAACGAAGGTAAGAAAACAATCTTATCATTATTGGCAATTACATGTTTACGCGTTTTCTGTTCATTCGCACATTGATACTATGTTGAATAATGAACACCCTGTCTCCCCTCCCCCACCTTTAATTGTGCTTACATCCTAGAAAACAAAATAAGTATACTTCAATTCATAGGTGCTGGTCCCAACCCCCATCAGCTGACACCACTTGTCGAGACTGTTTTAAATGTGATCGGGGACGATTCCCCGACGATCTGTGGGATTGACGTCATCATCGGTGACACCGAAAAGTAGGTAACACTTTATAGGCCATGCTGTGTATGCTATGCTCCTGTTGATACTTTATACATTACAATACTAAAGTTGTAGGTATGAGCACGTGGCTTCGTCAATCACCTTACTTGTGCTAATTGAATGGCCCACCCTTACGCCTACAAGTTTGATATCGTTGCACACTGTATGTAGACTGTGACAATGGAGGCGATAGTACAGTGGAAGCTCTGCACCCAGTTACAGCTTACTAGCCCTGACAGCACAAGGATGCACAAGCAGCAGAAGAGAATGAGCACGCGCTGAAGGTGCATTCTTTTTCTGTTCTGCTCGTCACATTATGAGTACTTCCACAAGATGATAGTTATGAAACTGATGATAGGGATGTTCTGCTGTCACTGATGATAGGTATGAAACTGAGCACAGACACAAGGCATATCAAAAGTCACCAATTGTTGGCATGCTCCTAGAAAACATTGATGAGCATAGGGAACAGTTTGGATTGTCATAAAAGAATATATTGGTTTTCCATCTCAAAGTGGACATGTCAGTTGCATAACACTACTGCTGCGTGCCCTTACATAGAGACCAACTTCATGAAGCAAAACGACAATATTAGGAGCACGAGTCAAAACCTGTCCAGTAGAGAACAGAACACAGCACAAGGACACCACCTTCACATATTTAGCCATTTCTGCACTGCTGAAAAAGTGCCAATGAAACCATTTATTAGGGTAAATGCAGTAAAACTCACAGTTTGAAACTATTTGTACCACAAAATTACAAAGAAATATTTACATCATAATCAACAAAGCTATGGTAGTCTTTCTCTCAAGTTGAGATCACCTATTTTCTTCAAAGTCAGGTCACTCAATACCCAAATTTTTCCACTGTCAGTGGAAATGTTTTTGCATGATCTTCGTACATGCCTGCTAACGTAGCAAAAATCCATTCTTTTTTGGTAATGCTTATGAGATTAAGTTGAGAATGCACCAATGACTTATTCGATGCTGATCTGTGCCAACAAAATCTGAAAAAGTATCAATGTCCCAGTTAGCCGGACAGTGCTTGGGTACACAATAATCACATATGACGGCTGGTGTGAGTGTGCCACATCTACTTGTTTTAAATCTTGTACAAATGTCTATATGGCGACTCTACCAACCGCCAATGAAACGAAGTTGTGGGGTTAGGCACTCCAGTCTGTTGTACCACCAACATATGTGGTAAAATTATGACAAGTGTTACTGTCACATCTGGATTAATGTTGCCGCACGTTGCACTCAGTTCTCCCACACATATATGTACCCTGATCCAGGGTGACGTCAAAAATGTCATGCACTGCAGCCCTCATGCATCACTTGGAGAGATAGATGACGGAGAGAATCATGTCACGGAGGACGTACGTGCACGAGTATGGTGTCTAGTCACAATCCTTTGCTTCAATGCTCTGAGCAGCTCTCTGGAGCTGTAGCCCTTGCAGTTTGCTAAGTTATGCTGAAATTTACAAGTTCACTCCTGCCCAACAATAGCCGTCTGTGAGCTGCCATTTTTCTCACTGCGCATGCTCGGAACACGTCCCGAGCATTAGCTTTATGCAGGACAATATTGTACCTCGGGCTGCCATCCACAGCCAGTCAGTGACCTGGGTTTTTAAGTTTGCTGATAATCGTTGTAAAGGCTTATGCGTTAAAGGGATACCTCAACGAAATTAAAAATATACCCGTCGTGTTCAAAAATAGGTTGAATATGATCCACTGTATCCCTAAATGACAATCGCACGTTTGTATTTTGAACCTGGTGGCTATAGTTTTCGTTACAAACGGCCCACCCTGACAAGCGCTCGGAGAACAGCCAGCGGAGAGCATGTGACAACCAACGCAATCGTGACGTAGTTCGTCTCGGGACGAGCAAAGCTGCGACGAGGCTGACGTCGAGAGGATGGCCTAGTCGTTCCAGCCACCAAAGCGGCTGCTTTTGTACGAATTTTGAGTGAAGGGTTAATCTTTTATAATCTTGTAGGGGGGCAATAGCAACTTCTGGGACATACAAAAAGGATTCTTTGGAAGAGGAGAGTTCCTCCTTCCCCTCTTCTATTGTGGTAGCCGGAGGCGAGACAGTTACCGTCACTAGCTGTCAAGGTTCTTAGACTGGCATTACAAACGAGGCGTTAGCGACATCCACCTGGTGCTCTTTGCCAATCGCTTAATTCGTTTTAAAATTCCTTTTCGTGACTTTTTTAACAAGATATTGTTGTGTTCGATGTGATACTGCTCCTTCGAACACATATAGACCAAAAAATGAAACCCGAAATTTTGTTGTAGTATCCCTTTAACCTCAAACAATTTCCTGGTCATGCGTGTCACTACAGCAGCTGCACGGGAAGGGTGACGACGCCGCCACCCTCGTCATCTGGCAGCAGTACAGTTGAAGACGACGCAGCACAGAGAACACTGGCCTCTCCTGTTGTGCAGCACAACCAGCGCTGGACCCGTGAGGCTGCACAGCAGTACCAGAGAAGGGCCGAGCGACAGCAGGATCTGGAGCATGAGAATATACTCCTTGAGAGAAAGTACACAAATGGGGCCATACAGGCTGCAAACGCAACCCTCGCTGCAGCAGATGCTGCACGGAGTTTCTATGCTATAGGGGAGGAAGTGCTCAGGGAGCAAAGAGAACTCATTAGACTTGAAACCACCCGAGCACAGCTGCAAATTGAACTGATAAAAAGACAATTAGGACAAGATTAACTCATGTAATGAGCTACTTGCATTGTTTGTCGCTGTGTTGTATACATATTTTGCGTTTTTTCTGACCTACATACTTGTTTGCACGATTATAACGCTCACATTTTTTTTGCCAAAATGGGTGCCTAAAATTAGATGCACTTACAATTGAAACCAAAACTCAAAAGAAAAACGCAAGGCAGCTAGCCCAATCGCTTTTGTGACCGTTTGTTTACATTAGATATTTTGGTATCCGTATCGCGCGTTCTTTCGCCTTTATGTCATCACACTGACGGGAAACGATAACCACGGAGCGACACTGCGTAGCCTCGCAATCCCAGCGACCCAATGAGCTCGCGAAGTGTTGTATGAAAAAAAAAAGTGAAGGCCGTTTACAACTCTGTAACGCCGAATTAGAGCGCAGCTCTTGAGGAGGAGTAGGGAAGGGTACAAAGGGGGAGGGGGGTCACGTGACCCCCAGGTCACATGACCCCGCAGAGAAATTTTTCCGCTAGGTTTAGCGGACAAATTTTTCCGCTAGATTTAGGGGGGGATTTTTTCCGCTAGATTTAGCGGGGAAAATTTTCCGCTAGATTTAGCGGGGAAATTTTTTCACTAGATTTAGCGGAGAAGTTTTTCCGCTAGATTTAGCGGAGAAATTTACCCATCATGCACCGGCGGTTACGACGACGGCGACGGCGACGCCGCTCAAGCCGGAAACGAGTGCCTAAGAGCTGCACTTATGGGTGTTCAAAGTGCATTACTTTACCTGCGCGGTAGAATCGGCAGCAATTAAATTTTTCGATATCTGGGAGCTAAAATTGCCTGCATGTAAGTATCGGGGGCACGTTAGAATCGTGCAAACACGGTATGTTTGACACTTCATTTATTTTATGCATGCTATCTACAAGGGAAGCTTGCACACAATCTTTTCCATGTCGTTGACTATCCCTACACTAGACCAGCGTGGTTGTTCTGATCGCAATAATTTACGCTGTGGTTAAGTAAGCAACAGAATATCATACTGGCAGTATGGCACCCAGGCTTTCGACGCCCCAAAGGTGGCACATAATTTACATGGATACCTAAAATAAAAATATGGGTTAAGCTCAAAGGCAGATGTATAATTCCTTCTTTCCTATATCCCTTCACATGTTTCCCTTTCATAACGCGGCTCCCCGTCACAGCTCAAGAGAGGAGGTCGCCAGGACGATTAGCCTCCCGGCAGAAGACCAAGGTCGAGTTTCTGTGTTTTAAGAAAATGTTCGAGTAATCGATGAGTGGACCACAGACACTTTCTGACTTGCATCTGCAAATATTCCTTCTGCTTTTAAGATAAAGGCTTTTTCTGCCTGGATATGCTCCTGCGACCTATGGACTGTGTGCTGCTTATGTACGAAAAAGTTCATACTAAGAATATCCCGAAACTCAGGAACAGAAAAAGGGATCAAACACAACACTACATCATTTTGTTGCGTGTGTCACCTTTTGGGGCCCCGGGTCTTCAACTCTTATTACTTTGAATCGTCACCACTTACCTTGTTCTTTAAGTATTTATTTATTTATTTATTTATTTATTTATTTATTTATTTATTTATTTTATTTAAAGAGTACCCTCATCGCCTCGAGGGCATTATTGTAGGAGGGGTGGGAAATAACACACATACATAAAAACACAAAGTGATCACTTGTCCGCACAGAATAGATATACAACCGAGAAAAAAATACACTGTTATCCAACACAACAGTTTTTTGGAGCTGAAATCTACTTGCTGCTTGTACGTAGGCTCGCGATAATTCGAACTCGGATATTTCGCACTTCCAGTTAATTCAAACCGGTTTAAAAATTTTGGTTGTCCCGCTAAGCTTTTTTATGTATTTATAAGCCACTTCATTCGAATGGCGTTTTCGCTTAATTCATAGTTTTTTGCTCTCGCGGCCCTGTTGAGTGCGCTTCTTTCCGAGCACCGGTGCACCGCAGAGAAGCAATACCTGCGGAGCTTGCTTTTGCGAGTGTTGCTTCTCCGCAGTGCACCAGTGCTCGGAAAGAAGCGCAGTCAACGGGGCCGCGAGAACAAAAAACTATGAATTAGCGAAAACGGCACACATGAACGGAAAACGGCGTTCAAATTATGTGCTTCAAGACTAGCAATGATGACCAAGACGACAACGAGGACGAGGCACAGCTCACTGGCATCATGATTTCTGGCCTTGAAACACGTAATGTGAACGCCGTGCAGGCGAACTATATTAGTCTTGACGACGATGTGTGTGTTTGTCATGATGACTCATTAGAGGACATAGTACGGAAAGTAATGCCAGCACAGTGCAGCAGTGACAGTGAAGATGACGATGAAGAAATGGATGACCCACTACGAACTGTCACAGCCGCAGAGGCCTTTGAGCACATCGCTCAGCTCCGGAAGTTTCTGTCTGCAAAGGAAAAGTCCCGTAAAGAGCTACTTGCATTGGCTGGCATTGAAAATTTTGTTTTGAGATCTCATGTGCTGACTAAACAGTCCACAATTGACGACTTTTTTGCCGGATGAATAAACTTAGTCACAGTTCTTTCACAAATGTGTTATGCCTGTACTTGCTTATAGTTATGCATTAACTATAAGCAAGCTACTGTGCTATGTAGAGGAAACTGGCCAAAATCTGCTTTGTATATATCGCTATCCATGTAACAAATCATAATGTTCTCTAGTATCATATATATCCAACTAAAATATGTGACTTTCTGGAGTTTGAATTAATGAGAGTGTAGTATGTACAATAAAGCTCCTCTCTGGACAATGCCCTACTAAAAATAAATGTTTTGCAAATGATGTTATCATGCCAGCCAGGATGAAGAAAATATGAACTAACCCTAGGAGGTTTGTGAAAAATAAGAGAAAAGCTTTGCAGGTTGGAAAAACCTGTGAAAGGTGTTATGACTCAACACTCAGAAGCGTACACTATGTAAATCCTATGAGCTAGTAACCATGAGTATGCACTGAAAAATGAACATTCTATGGGGTACTATATATAATTTGTACTGATAGCTTTGAAATTGGTATAAATGAACATTGTTTCACTATACTCTCCTATTCATGCTCCTGTACCCATTAAATAGTATCAGTTTGTAGATATTGAATGGGAAAATAACTGTCTTCTTCAGTTGCCTCATTATAAACTGTGCACACATAGTCTGTTATAGGGCTGACTTCAGCACTTCCCATAAAGCATCCGTCGGTGTGGGAAATGTATTACAAAAAATAATGACAGTATAAAAAGAGAGCTCCAGAGAGTGCGAAGAAGTGCACAAATTTGAAGAAGCATCCCTCGTGTCATTAGTTAGAAGTTTGAAAAGTGCATTGTTATGAACTCCGGAAATCAAATTCAAAATCTATTAGTTTAAGAGAGCCCGTGTGTGCCTATGCTTGTAGCTCTGCGAGAGTGCAGGAGTTGATGGGGAGGAGACCAAAGCAGTAACAAGCAGTTGAGCTGCAGCGTGCGATTGCAGGAGTGTTGGACATTGCACTGCACTCCCGTTTGACCAATAGCTTCGGCAGGGATTTTTTTCGAGCACACTCTTTCCAACGAGCTAATTATAAGTGCCTCAAATGACACATTTCGAGCTTTGTAATAATAATGCGGGAAGTAAGAAAATTTTTTTTCATTACTTATTTCGTCGCTCATGCTGCAATTTACACGTACTGCTATGGAAGCAACAGGTATAAGGGGATGTCCATCAATCATTTTTTTACATTTCTATCATCCAAATTTCGAAACTCTATGTGGGATATCTGCAAGCACTACTAAAATTGATCTGTGCAAGAGTGATATATGCATTGCTGGAATGTCATTGTCATGTTGATAACACACTTTCAGCTTTGTCACATGTGTCACACTCCTTTATGGGTTATTTTGGGTAGAACTTATGATAATCTTACATCCAGTTAGATCATACAAAAAAAGCTTAAAATAAAATTAATCAATATCTCAAAGCTGTTGGCTTCTTCTAACTGTGCAGCACGGTTGAGCCCCTAACTGTTGCAGTTTCCAAAAATACAATTGATGTTTAAGTAGCAAAACAATAAATATTATTTCAAGCAATTATTTGATCTAGTTAGACAACTGTCTGACATAATTTTCTTATAATTATCTGCAAAGCCTGATAAACAAAAGGTGAAAGCAATAGCCACGATCATAACAAAGCATCTTGCATTAGAAATGGACAGCCAGAAGATACCTATCCAGACACTTACACTTAGCCGAAGAAATGGTTGACAATAAAGTCTCGGGCCTCGTTGCTCTCAGCACGGTTGGCTGCTACGGGCTCAACGGGAACCTCAGCGGGGATGGCGGCCACGGGTGTCCTGCAGGGGTACCTCTTGGCCAGGTTGTGGAGGGCACAGCACGCGACAATGATGTCGCAGCACCGTTCTGGAGCCATTCGGAGCTCAGCGTGAAGGCAATGGAACCTCCGCTTGAGTTGGCCGATTGTCCTGTACAGACCGCATGGATCAAAACCACATGTTATTCCTTCCCAGAAACCCAATAGCAAAATCGGACAACAGCGTGGAACGCAAATACTCAAGAGGATGACACGCAACAAGGACAAATTTACAGCTGAATTTGAATCGCAAATTGGCTGCCGTGGCCGATATCACACCTCCTAATTTTTCCAGCCCAAGCTCCAGCCCATTGCTCCAGGATATTGAAAGCTGGGCATTATGCATACCATTTTATTTTCCTTCCGAATTATTTTTACACTGCGTTCACATCCGGGGTCACCTGAGGTTGGCCTGTGCAATGTATTTTATAGAAAGCAACAAGCAAAGTGCAGCTTTATTCAAGCGCTATCCTCAAAGGGTTTCGTGGATATGCTTCCAACCAAACACCTGCATATGCACAGGCCAATATGTTAGAATGTTTTGCTACCTGATTGCTGCCAACGCTGTAAGAATTAACTTGTAACCAAGCTTTATACTGCAACAAATACAGTACCATCAAAATTTCATTCTACATGTTAATTGTGAGACAGAGTGAAAAGAGAAAGAGAGCCAGACTCTTGTCTTGTTGAGCCTTTCCCCTTCCACTCTCCAGGAATAGATGTTCGTGGTAGCGCAACCCATCTACTTTTGTCATTGATCAATAAGAATCCGTCTTGTAAGTCTGGGAGATGTAAGACGTAAAGCACTTGATATAACGCCTTATCCAAGTACTCCTACCCTTTGATTGTGCCGCTAGTGTTCCTATTAGTTAGTGGTCCACGCACCGCCATTTCTGACTCAAGTGGAAGCTCCTGGACGCATGCAGCAAAAGGTTTGGTAGAGGGTCTTATGGCACTTTCACAACGGAATCCCAAGCAAGATTTGCCTGAACATTTGAGATTGCAGCGACTCATCATCAGTCGTGAATGACGTGTAAGATGGTGTCTAGAGACTATTTGTGGAAACTTGTTATTGCATGCTCAACTTCAACATTGTCCAAAATGATGCCTTGGCACTACTCTTAAATCCATCGATGAGAGCAGAATAGGTCATGCTAGGCATGTACTCTTGGCCAATCGGTCAAGACGGTCAGCAACACACAATTGTTTGCGACTTACACCGATGTGCCGCTATTTTTGGATCACACGCATCTTAGCACGCACGAGCTTAGCTGTACTTGTACACTCAATATGAGTACATACATATCTAGCACGTTTAGTTAGTTTCCATTAAACAGCCCGAAACTGACATTTCAAAAAGTAGACATATGAAAGTGCCAAGGCACAGTGTTACTTCCACTGCTGTGTCTAGGAAAAAAAATCCATTGTCATTAATGCTTCTTTTTGTCCAATTAACAAAATATCAACTTCTGTCCGGGTCTTGCGTAGCACTGGCACCTGAGGTGAGTTTAGTGCTTTTCCCCATTATTGCCAGTCCTGGGGACCTAAGACATAACTGAGTTTCTGCATTTTCAGTCTCAAGCGATAAAACCCAATAAAGTGTGGTGAGGTAAGTTTCGAAAGTTTGATTTTAAACCTAAATGGTCAGTACTTTAGACCATTACAGGTGCATGTGACCGAGTAAACAGAGTATAGAAGCATGTGACCGAGTAGTCAACTATCTTATCTCCGTGCTTTCAAACTATTCTGTTGGAAGCACACTTTAGGAAGTATTTGGGTTTGTCATCGATGCAATTCGCGTTCCTTTGTCCATCAAGTTTGCTGTGGTCGTCTAGAGGGCGGATTTGGAGCGTTTTCATTGTTTGTCAAGCCATTTGGTCTTACTTTTGTTCTGGGAGGAATGGAATGTCATTCTGTTCCTATTGTAGGGAGCATAAGAAAAAAACCGAAGCTGTTTAAACAGCCTCTCTCAAGGTGCTATCTGGTTATAGGAAAGCAGCTTTAATAGTCCTCCACATGTGAAGAACAAAGAAGCGTGCCAAGAATTACGTTTGCAAATTTTGCGATTAAGAATTTGTCGTCACAGCACATGTATAACCAAGGTTACGTTTGCCATGTCCGCAAGTGTTTCCGCTTGACGAATAACTCAGATATGAACCTAATCTACTGCATTCTCGACAAACCTGCTTGAAAAAAAACGTAACTGGTCAATAGATATCGACCGGAAAAAGGCAGTAAGCTTTCGACTAAAAATATTCATCGATAAAAACTGAAAATTTCATACTCACAATAACAACCGAAAAAAGTATGCCGATTCCAGAAAAATAAAAACTGAAACCGCAGAACCCTAGGCAGCTATTATAAGTTGTATTGATTCGTAATCTCAGGATACTACTTTCATCTTGCTTACATAAAACCACGGTATCTTATGCTTCGTTAGATTAATATAAAAATTTGTATGAATATTTTTATGCCATAAAGAATAGCAATAGACGTAAGGAGCATGCACGTGTTGCACATATTACGTCAAGACAGCTAGTCGTCTTGAAATGTCTTGCATGAATATCTCTGTGCCCTTCACAATATATGGCCTAGATTTACCGTTCAACAATGCTTCTTGTCGTCGTGTGTGCCGTATTGTATGCGACCTCGGCTGCTGATGACGGCGACAGGAATGGCGTCATCAGCCATGGTTGACAGGAGTAGCCGCTGTCACCAAGCAGCAGGCCGTCGTACTCTCCACTGGCCAGCTTGACTGCCAAGGCGCTCTCCGTGAAGATCCGAGAGTCGTGGGTGCTTCCAGGCCACCTTGCAACCACGTTGCGAATCCGAGAAGAGGCGTCAACGACCACCTGTACGTTGATGGAATGGTATCCATGGCGGTTGACGTACGCCTCCTCGTGCACATGGGGTGCCTGGATCCGGACATGGGTACCGTCAACAGCACCCACGACCAAAGGAAAGCCGGCCATGTCGTAGAACTTGTGCTGCAAGGCTGCCCCCTCCGCAGCGTCAGGCCATCTGCGTCGTTGATCCCCTCAGCAATTAAACCACATATAGTAAACTTACAGCTACAATGCTTATGAATACCTTTTTAATGAGGAATGCTAAGGACTTTGGCTGTGCCCTTCAAGTTTGTGGTAGCAGTAAAGTGCCTCAGTAGCACCTGTTCAATAGTGAAGTTTGCATGTTTTCATAGGATCCCTTTTTATTTTTGTTCAGTTACCAAGACCTATAAAGTGACTGTGATTCGGTGCAAGTCCTTACCAAAAGTGCAAACGGGTCGCTTTCTGAGGTTTCTCAGAAAAATGGCGTGCCCGGGCCCTTTCCAATAGGGCAAGTAGGACGCTTACGGCCGTAATCAATTTTTTTTCTATTGAAAAGGGGGGGGGGGGGAGGGCTAGTTACTAGTAGGTAGAATATTACTGCCATAAAAAGGCAACCTACAAAACATCCCTATCACCAGCAATTCAGATATATTTTTAGTGTATTTACTTTACTTCAATACGGCTGGCAAACTACAATTAAAAGGAAAAAAAAAGGACCCTTACCGTATGAAGTCTTGTGCTCGACGAGCCAGCGCTACGGTGACTTGCCTCACAGCCCGTGAAGCACTTGACACATGCACGCGGATGTAGTCGCCTGCAGTGATCAGAAAGTTCCCAGTTGCGTAGAACTGCAAGGCGATGATCACTTGCTGCTCCGCAGAGAGGGCGCGGCTACGACGTGTACGGCGCTCCAAGTCCGGACGCAGTGTGTCGGCGAGAAACATTATGCCCGCTCTTCCAAATCGGAACCGTTGCTGCAGCCCATCCTCGTCGAAATCCTCAAAGGGGTTCAGGCGGTCCCGCAGCACACGCTGTCGCCTCATCATTGCCGCTGCGTACTGCGCGTCCGTGCGGTCTCTTCTGTGTCGGCGATTCCTTGCGTTGGACATTCTGCCCGGTAGCAAAGTCGGAAATCGGTCCGCAAATCTTATCAGTCAGTCCGTGGCCGGTCGGAGGGTTTGTCGGTGGGTCGGTCGGTCGAAGGGCAGAATACAGACAGGAAAACTCAGATGATAACCGAAAACGAGAAACGCGCGTTGCGTGCAACGAGGCGAAACTGGTTGTATAAACAAACGCCGTGCACGCGACACGGCACACACGGCGTTGCCAGACTTGGAAGCGACGGTCGACGCACTTGCTTTTTGCAAAACACGACAACAGAAAACTGCAAAGCACTTTGACTAGGTGTCTTGTCTACGCTTCCACACTTCGAAAGAAAGAATTTCGATGCAAAAAAGAAACTATCCTTTTTCTTTTCAACTGAGCAAACGTTTCTTGCAAGTTACAACTAGATTTAGCCGAAAACGGTTCCCATAAAGCAAACGTTGTATCATAAAAAAATAACGATTTATTTTTTTCAGCACAAGGTGGCGCAGGCTCCAGCCCAATAATAAAGGACGGATTTGTTTTATGTCCAGCCATTAAAGTTTCGTAGTAGGTACAACGTAGGTACAACTAGGTACTTTCGGTACCTACTAGGGACTTTGGCCAACGCTAACCGCGGTTAGCTCTTCGAGCAAACGGGCCCTGGTGGAGAACCACGGCTGGAGCCAGGACTTCCTCACCACAGCCTGGTTTTTCGAGCAGGTGAACAAATGGTTCGACCTCATGAGCAGCAGGCACCCAGTCCTTGCTATCAGCAAGCAAAACCTGGCGAGCTACAGAAGCGCAATCGAGTTTCTGACCAAGTTTCAGCAGCTTTTTCGCCAGCTGAAAATTGGGGATGGGGCATACAAGCCCGTACAGGCAGGGGTAGTGCTCTCAACGAAGTCAGTTCTAGACCTGCAGGAGATGCTCATCGAGAAGCAATCATTTTCTTTTGTTTTGACATCCCGGCTCACGCAAGACTGCCTGGAAAACTTGTTTTCGGTAGTGCGACAGGGCAATCCAATACCAACTCCCTTGGAGTTTAAGATGGCCCTAAAGTTGATAACCCTGTCGCAGTACCTCAAGGCTTCCAAAGCAGGCTCGTACGAACTGGACGACGCCTCGTTTTACCTGACTGACCTGGCAGACCTCACTGCAGTGCCAACTGCATGCAGTGATGTTTTGCCTGAGGAAATTGAGCTACAGATGTCTGATCCCGAGAACAATAGCTTTGTCTATTACTGTGGGTACATTGTGCACACAGGGATCAAGAACAATGTGACGTGCGACATCTGTGCTGCACCAGTTCAGGTGACCACAACGCCTGCACATAGCCTCCTTAGGCTCAAGAACTATGTCCCTAATGCGCTGACATGCCCCTCTGAGGCTGCAGGCACACTGTTTGCAAGGTGCGAAAGCGTGTTTCGCAGTCTCATGCACAATTTAGTAGGTGCACAAGGTATCCTGGACAGCCTGTCAGCAAGGATGTCTGCAGAGTGCCAGTCTGCTGTGCTGCCCGAGTGCCATGACATCAAAACTAAACTGATCAGGCGCTTCTGCCATGCACGGCTGCAACTTTTCCTTCGTGAAAAAAGTCGCAAGGCTGCAGCTAGGGCAACTGAGAACAGAGAATTTGGCAGCAAGTCAATGGCAGCACCTTGCAGGAGGAATTAGTGTTTTAGTGTCTCAGTGACATCAGTAGCCATTTTCTCCCTGTTGTCATTCATATCTTCTTTGCTTTCTTTCTTGCGTTTGGGATGGCGCTCATTCTAGCATTGTTCTTGTATTGAAATTGTTTTTATTATTTCGTGCCTGCTAAGCATGTTTGCAGCTCACACTGCTTTTTTTACATTCTGCATGTAAGCCTATGTGCAACTTCTCCTCTAATGTGAGATTGTCCTTTTACCCTGCTGTTATCATATTTGCTTCCTTGCTGGACACTTCCTTCAATCTGTGCACTGTTTCTGTGTGTGTCTTTTTTTTCTATTTATTGTGGACATTTTAGCCACCCCTTTGTTTATTGTGCCTGTGTATGTAAGCTTATGCCAAGACTGCCTTCTTATGTGCACGAGCTTGTTTCTTCCCCTTGTGTTCTTCTGTTTGCTTTTCCTTTTAGCACATCTTGAGTTCTGTACACTCCTTCTGTGTTTACGTTTTCTTTTTTTTGTTCCTGGCTAGTGATGCTTCCGGTCATTTTTTGTTTTGTTCCTTTCTCGCATGTAAGCTTTCAACATGCAAAACTTCTACGCTTCTGCGTGCCTGTCCTTTTGCTGCCAGTCCTTTCTGTTTAGCTGTTGACTTAATTTAACCCTCCAGTTTTGGTGTTTGTTTCAGAGGTGCGAGATGCGCCTCTCCTCCAATGGTCATCGCTCGAGGCTTTTAGGTTTGTCTCTTGTTCCTTTCATTGTACAGTATAACCTCGTTACAACTTATCTGGTTACAGCAGACACTTGGTTATAACATACCGATTTTGTTTGGTCTTCCTGCCTATGTCATTGGGCCAACTTCGCTTATTACAGTTTTTGTTATAACCAGTGATGGAAGTGCTGCGCCAATTGCGCCAAGGACGCAATCCTGCTACATGTAGCGCCAAATTGTCATTTTACCGAATTATTGCGCCATGCCTGCGCCGAGATGACATGTAACAATAAAAAATAAAAATTGAAGTCTTATCAGAGCGTGTGGCGGTACCGCGGTGTTTTCCGCGCCGCAACTGTTACACAAACCGAAACTGCGAGGGCGCATTATCATCATCATCATTGAAAGGAACAACGTTAGCAACATCTGAGACCAAAGCCGCAGAGGCTAAGCGAAGAACTATCCCACTGAACAGCCTATTTAAAAAAAAAAAAAAAGGCCGATCTTGTGGATGTTTTTAGTGTTGGACCGCCCTGTTCCTGTGCGCTAGCTACCAGCGAAGTCAAAGCTAGCGCGAGCCCAATGCTCAGTGCATTCCGGACTCGAGCGTGGGCTCGTGCAGTGTGGGCACCGTTACGGGCTCCATGCGCGCGCTTGTAGCTTCGGCTGCGCTAGCACCGAAGCTGAAACGAAGTATAGTTGAGTTGCATCAAACTCTGGATGTAGTGCTGGTAAAGCCTCACCGTCCTTTTCGGAGCACAAAGCACTGCGCGACTCGCGTGACTGCGGTGTCTGCTCCGCGAGTGTCGCTTCTCTGCAGCGCGTCGGTGCATGCCAAGGAGCGCACTCAACGGGTTAACTCGCCGTGATACGATCATGACTTCGCCAGCACATCGAAAATGAATCGGAATTTTTGAAGCGAATATCGAATACCGCAATATTTGAGCTGCTGCCCGAAAGACAACTCTAATCTGAACTAAAACATTCCACAACAGTGAGGGTCGTTAGATGCTGCTGCAGATACCTTAAAAGAAGTGCAGGCTGATAAAACTAAATATCCTGTACCATCAGAACTCAGTGTGACATATTTAATTTTATTTTTTTTTATCTGACGGGCAGATAAACTTTATTTAAAAAAATGTTTCTTTTTGTGTTTACCTTGTTGAATTTTATATATCCTGTCTTTAAAAGGCGACAGGCGCGTGTTCCAATAATAGAGATGGGCTTTATATAGCAACGCAGCAGTATTTCATTTTCAAGCAAAATGCCAACATATACCGGACCCTGCTCCAAAAGGGCCACTACCTGCTCCAAAACAACATTTTGCCTGCTACAAGGCCTGCTCCAAAAGGTCAAATGGCACTTCCATCACTGTATAACATGCATTCGGATATAACAGACCCTTCAACAGCAGTCAATATTTCGGACATTTCGCAGCTTTGGTTTAGTAGTGGTGGCATCTATTTTGTGAATTTTTGTCATTGTGCTCTGCATCTTGTGAGTGTAGTATGACCCATAGCGCACGATGATGATGATCACCAATATAGCTCAATGTAAAATTACTACCTCTCAAAGGTCAGAAGTGTCCAGAAGCCAGTTGTTTTCTAATATTCATTCCCATTTAGTCAGTCTCAGTGGTTAGAACAGACTCTAGTCATAATCCACCTCCGAGTCTGTAGTAACAGTATCTGGATTCTGCATACTCCTTTTGCATTGACTTTAGCTTTAATGTACCAGCGTTCCTCAATATCAGCATGTACCAGCTCACCAAGGGAAACATTTAAATCTGGCTTGTTGTATTGTGATGTGCAAGGCGGTGATGCATGCTTGGAGAGGCATAGACACTTGAGGCGTCTTACTTTCTTGCAGGTGTTAAACTTATTGTTTCTCGCGGTGTGCTGAGTTTTTGTGGGTTTATGCCAGGTGCTGCACCATTGGCATTTGATATTGCAATGTGTTCCCTTGATATTGCAATGCCCTTGATATTGCAATGTGTTCTGGACCTGTGGGTCCCTTCACTTGCTGTTCGCTGTAGAGTATGCTTTTCTGAACTCCTCAATTTCCCTGGACTCTTTCTTACTGCTTAACTGCTCCATCTGTTGGTGCTTAATTGTTTCTTAGGGTCGGACTACAGCCATCGTGCTTTGAAAAGCGAGCTTAGCGTTGAGGTGGAGTTTCTCGCTCCGCTTTCTGTCTAGAAGGTGCACAATGAAATGATCGCAGCAGGTGAGCTCCTCGCGAAGTGGTGTGTAGTCTCAGGAATCTGCCAGTCTGTGTAAGGCTGTAATGAGAGCCTTTGCTGTCTCATTTGGTTCTTGCTTTCTTATGTTGAGTTTCACTTTCCAAGACGACATTTACGCTCCAAGTAAAGTGGGCATTGAACTTCCTTCTCACTATGCAGTAGTCGTTGAATTCTGCTTCTGACAGGTTGAGCGACGTGAGAACATCTTTCGCTTCTTTACCCACGGCGTACAGGAATGTCTTTACCTTCGTCAAAGCATTTTTGAAATGGAGTCTAGAGGTGATCTGGTAGCATTCCCACTGGGTAATCCATCGCTTCGAGTCGTTTGGCTTCCAAAAATCCAACTTTGTAGTTTGACAGTGAATGGGTTGAAGAAGGAAGGCTCGCTGCTGGCCTGGGAGGCTGAAGGGCCGGAGCCATCGCTGATCCCATTCAAAGAGCAGGCTTAGTGGAAGGTTCTGCTTTTTTATATGAGGTTTCTTTGAACTGGAGTACTTTCGTCTTGGCCTCGGAGACGATAGAATCCTGTTGCAGAGCACAGTAGCTGCCTTCATGTCGCATTATCAAGAGGTGTGTGAAAAAGACTTGAAGCCTAGAGGAACTTGAAACACTTGTCTTTATGGCACTCATGCTCTGAACTTTTTTTTGTCTTCCTTTACATACATGTTCCCAATCGCATGCTTCTTTAAACAACAGATCCCAACCTCATCGCCAGTGTTGCATCCGTGGGTTCAAAGAACTTAGTATGTTACTATAACATGACTTTGTCATTACATCAGTTATATGGTTTACAACTACGCAGCAAATTTACATCGTGGCAATTGAGATAAAACTTGAGGCAGCCATTTCACAGGAAATCCGTCGGAGCTAGCTGTACCCAACAATGGCTGTGTCGTATGGATTGCTATGAAGAATAGCCACATTCATCTTGTTGGTCTTTATTTTCTCTGCATAATGAGATACCCTTGGAGACGGTTTCCATCTTTTTCCTGGATATCCTTCGTCAGAGAGTAATACTGAATGTGATATGTTACCCACATAACAGAGTG